TATAATCCGTTACTATTTATTTTGGTGCTCAAATTGTCACTGATTTGGTCAGCAGGAGCCCTTTCAAACTGACTTCTTTGCCCTTTGGCATATCCTTACCATTCGTTGAACTCTTCCTTACTTTCTGGTATAAGAAAGAGCTCCAGGAGCATCTTGTATGACTCCTGCCCCAGCCATGGAAGTTGCTATTTTTTTTTCTAAGAAAACTTGACTTCTTTTATTAGAGAATGGTATTTAGAAACCATGATCTGGATTTTTTTATTGAGGTGCTGTTGCTCTGAGTCCCTCTCGGTGGATGTGTATTGGGGTATGTGTGTAGATTGTGTGTGTGTGTGTGTGTGTGTGTGTGTGTGTGTGTGTATCTAAAGTGATGTGTGATGGGTTGAGTTGTCCTCTATCCATATTTGTAATGCCCTGTTCAGATTGCGAGAACCCTGGCTCTGATTACCTTCAGTGTATGTATGCATTTGTTCAATCCCCTTTTACGTACTCGTCTCCTATTACTGCCACCTACTATTTCACCCTGCACAGGTTCTGACACCCACTCCCAGTTTTACCCACATACCAACATGGATAACTTCCACGTCACCCAGGACCTAAGGCCTCACACTGGAACACTCCTCTCCCCTCAGAAACTCTGTCCTCCCTCTGCTTGCCTCCTGCACTAGGCTTTGGGCTTCTGTCTTGACCACTCTCCCCTGAAAATAGAACCTTCCTCCCTCTTCCCAGGCTCTGATACCCTGCGAGAGGCCACCCCACTCTGGGCATGTCCTCTCACCTTGCTTGGGCTCTGCCACCCCACTCCCGGCCACCACTGCCCTAGCCCTGCCCTGTACCCCTTCTCACCCCCTCAGGTTCCAACACCCCATGCTGGTGGCTGCGGCTCTCCTCTCCCACGCTCACGTGGGTGTCCACCTCACTCAGCTCCCTCCATGGCATCTGGACTGAATTATTGTGAAAGGAAGGGAAGGGGAAGAGGAGAAGCTCAGAACTCTTGTATAAGGTGAAATTCTGTGTTTGTTTTTATGTGTAATGTACAACATAAAACATAAACCTGATCATATTAGGCCTTAATTTGAAGTCAGTCCATAACTCTAATAACTGTACTTAAGTGACATGCAGCAGTATAGTCATTTCCTCTGATATCAATCACAGCACCAGAGAATCTCAAAGGTGGAAGATTTTTTGTAGGCCATTCCGCTCAGACTTCTTGGTTTAGAAAGACAGTAGAGTGAGTCGTTAAGAGCATGTGCTTTGGAATCAAATGGGCCTCAGTGGATTTGAGCAATCCTCTGTGTCCTTGCCCGTAGAACAGATTTAGTATGCACATCATGTGACTGTTTTGAGATGTAATGATGTATTGCTAATAAAGTATGTTACGTTGTGCCTACTAACAAGTAACTATATAGTCATCGAATTATAACAGCCATCATCACCATCAGCATCAGCATGACCACCGTCCTTATTATTACAAAGAAGGAAATTGAAACACGGAATGTTGAAACATTTTTTTCCAAATTCACCATCTGTTTTAACAGAGAGCAAAAAATTAAACTTAGGTTTTCTGTTTCCCACTCCATTGTTTTTACCATCCACTCATATCTGCTTCTATCCCATTAGTCTTCTAAAATATTTGCACCCAGGTAGAATAAATTATTTTATTAACTTCATCTTAAATTGTAATTTCAGCACATTGCATTATTGGCCCAAAAGTAGACAGACAGAGGTTTTGATTCCAGCCTAGTCAGTTACTAGCTCTGTAATGCTGGACAAGTTACTTAACCACTCTGGTTCTCTGGTTTCTCAGGTGCTGAGTGTCAATACCACAGCTTATATCTTAGTGTTGCTGTAAAGGCTGATGGAGAAAGAGTGGATTGAAGATGGATTACAGACTTTTCTTACCTAATGAAATGTGCAAGACATTATAAATACAGAAGAGTAAACAAATAGAAATTAACCACATCTGAACAAGAAAGAGGGCCTATCTCAATGCCACTGACTTAAAAAGAATTAAAACAAAGAAAGAAAAAACAAAAACAACTGTTAAGTAAGAAGAGTCTTGCCAGGCTCAGGGCAGTAAAAGAGTTCTGGACTTTCTAATTTTGTCCCCACCTGTTGTAAGATTGGTGAAATGACTTTCTGAGATGCTCATTACAACTCCACATGGAAATAAGCAAATTTGTGTGTACATGGATGGTCTATATTTATCTTTTCTTCTTCTTACTGAAGAGTAGAGAAAGGGGCTTTTGGCAACAAAAAGGTGACATAGGGAAATATGAAGAGTAAAGCTGATTTTATTTCATATACTAATAGCTTTATGCCTATTCACTCACTTGGTAAAACCTCAGAAGCCCATTAAAAAAGTGACACATCTCTGAACAAAGTACACCTATCATTCCTCCACCAGTACTCTTGCTACGATCCATTAAAAAGATCTTAGAATAGAAAAAAAGCACCCAAGTGTTCTAAAAAAGGCTGAACTTCCCTCAATCCTACCAGTATGTAATGGTACAAAATGTGGATA